CGTGACAGTTACTGATAAGGAGACTGCTTCAGAATCAGAACCAGAACAAGAATCAGAACCAAAACAAACACCATGTCCAGGGAAAGAACCTGATGAGATTAAGATCAAACAAACACCATGTTCAGATCCAGTTAACTCTCATCTTCCAGCCTCTCGCACTAAACCAAGATCTACAAAAAGTCGCAGAGCTCCACCACCACCTCTGTCCCTTCCATATAACAAAACAGATAATCCTGTGTGTGTTCAAGATGGTCCAAAGACTTTTTGGGTGAAAACTAAGTTTTGGAGTTAGTAATTACTGTGGGAGGATTAAAAAACTGAATTACTAGGATAGGTTAGCATGAACTGTTCTTTGTCAATCAACAAATACTGCTATGACTTGGTTGGAAAGTAGATGTTAGTAAAAAGGAGTTTGTGGATAAAATGGTAAAATGGATTTTGAGGAAGTTGAATATGAAACAGAGGTTGGCTCTGTTAGTGATGGGTTGGTCTTGTAGTGCAGGGAGGTCAAGTTCAGATGAGGTGTCAGATGAGGAGTTTTGAAGTACGTCAGGAAATTTGGAGATGTACCCTTATTAAGTTGTTTGAAGTTTTTTCTATGATTTGAGGGCTCTGTTTGTCAGAATGAGTGATTTTATTTGATATGAAGTTTTCTCATGTTTTTTTAGTCCATGGAGGTTAGACATAATGTTTTTTATTTGGATTTTATTTGTAGGTAAGTGATTTGGGCTCTAGATAGATTGATTTTGTTTGTTATTTTTGTAGTTCAGCTCATTCTGAAGGAAAGACATCCCTCCTTGAAGTTTTTCTACATATAATCTGATTTTGTTATTTTTTGACATTTACTTTATGTTTTGACATATGTCTGTGTTGATTTTTAGTGAAGGAAAGAAATATCTACTCTTCCTTGTGAATTTTGTTTTGTTTTATTTTTATTTCACCATTTTGGATTTTTGTGTCTTCATATATACATTATGCAGAGGTTTGATACAAGTGGGTGAACAAGAGTTAAAATTTCACAAACTCAGTGATAAGCTTCAGTGATTAAACTTGTGGTTATAATTTCAAGACACATGACATTGATTTTTGTTTTAATTTCCATTTTAATGTGACATTTATTTTCCACATGTGGTTTCTTGTCCGGTCTCTCCTGGGCCCTCCAGCGAACTGGACCTTTCGTCTCGTCTCCGTCACGGTGGTGGCTGAATCCGGCTGATTCGGTGGAAAACCAGCGGACGTCCTGCTGTTGACTTGTTGACGGTTAAAAAACTCTTAGACTGATAAAGAAATGAAAAAAGGCGACTTCTTCAGCTTGTACACATGTTTATTCAGCGAGAGACAARAAATAGGTCCTATTCAGCGTGATGTTACGAAGAGACTAAACAAAGAGACTCGTGTCCGCCCACATGCGCGTTCCAGCTGGGCACGCTCACGGTCTGATGCTCGTCCACGTTTCTTAAAAGGGATAGGACGTAAATATACCACACACAAGAGACTGCCGTATGTTTTCTGTCATTCCAGATGATGACAGCCGCATTCTGGTATTAAATGGACTCTGGACTTTTGGGACACTGGACTTAAATGCTCACCTCAGGAACTTTTGTGCTCATATATGGACTCAAACCGGACACTGAACTGAGTCTGTCAAGCTGAAGATGCAGCTGTCCCATATTTGCTCTACAGCCACATCAAAGATGAACAGTGATGATATTGAAGTGGTTCTAATGCTTTATTACTTTTCTGGACTTTGAAGTTTGGGTGAATTAAGACTTATGTTTTTGTTTGAATTTTATATGCCAATCATTTGATTCGTATTAAGCTTTTGATACGTCATATTTTGTATTACATTGTGCCTTATAAACAATCTTAAATAGGTTGCATGTTTTAGTTGTAGTGAGGTTTTTGTTTAAATTAGCATAAGGAATGCTCTGAGGACTTTGATTGGTATTAAGTCCTTTAATTAGCTACTGTTAAATTGGTAATTCTAAAATGAGATTCTTTCACTAGATTGGCTCAGTGTAAAGG